ATTTATTGATCGCTAGCAAGCTAAAAAGTTGTATCTTGTTGTCTCTACATCCTCTAATATCTCTTTATAGCCAAGTGTAAGTAGTAGCTTGGGTATATATCATGCCTAGGTGGAGCGCATGCGCAGGTCGAGTACCTGCAGCCTGTTCGTCCACCATTATGTGTTTTGATAGTCGAAGAAGCTTTTGCTCACTGCCGCAATTTTCTTTACTCTTCTTAGATGTTTGCAAGTTAGTCTGTATACCTGTATCTATATTCTCTTGAGTGATGAGATACTTTCACACGAACTTGAATTAATTTTATTAGGTAAATAAGTCTCTTAGTTTAGTCGCATAAATCGGACACCTTTTAGATGCCTATCAAATATTATCCTAAGATCAAGATGGGAAAAGATAATAAAAAAAATAATAAAAAGAAAAAGGGGTTTTAATTTACCTACTTCAAAAATGCCACTAACGTTCTTTATATTTCAAAATAAAAATTACTCCATTTCAATAAGAAGCGACCCTCAGGTTGATTATTTTAATTTTGTATTATAAATATTTTTTCACTGTCACACTGTATAACAGGCAATATGAATACACACACATTAACAGACTTCACAAAACGAAATTCTGCGGAATATCAATATTTTGCCTCAACTCACGTCTTAGGCCGCGTCCAGACCGAAAATCCAACGTCGAGCAAATGAATGCAAGCGCATGTGACGTTGGCGTTTGTTGTTAAGAAGGTATTGGAATGCGCTCATCTACACGTAGTGTACACCCTAAATTTAGTTTCGAGTTGGGCAGAGTCAGGTCAAATGCTAATGCCGAGCGACGGGCCTCCTCTTATCGAATGCAGACAAACGACTAAATACCAGAAGCGCAACAAATCCTGTCCATACCAAATCTAACCTCCGTTTGATCAAGGAGCGAACGCAATCGAACGCCAACGCCGACCTTGGAAACCGTTGGCTTATGCTAATCTCGGTCTGTACGCAGCTTCTATACGAACGAGAAGCAACAAAATCTGCTGTCGTGAGCTCCAATATAATTTTTTACATCAAAGCTGTGTCTAACGTAACGTAGTAAATTTGTCCACGCTGTCCTTAGAATGTGATTCTTTTTCACCTTTACTTTTTGACGTTGGTAGTTTCACACGAGATGTTTGGTCACGTTGTAGGTATGCATATCCAAAATTGAAACAAAATCGAATTACCTGCTTTTCTTGACGGAAACTACACAAGATTTAAATAAAAAAATAGCGAGAATGAAGTGCATCATCGTCAAAAAGCTTAGTCTTAGGTACTCTACCACTTAACTCTACAACCGGACATCACAAAACATTGGGATAACAACATGGATGATAGAACTGGGAGAATAAGTTCATTAAGAAGAAGCAAATGTAGAATGCCAACGTGAATATGGATTAGAAACAATATGAATTATGAACAAGCTATCATTCAGCAATCTGAGTTGATTACGCAATGCTCTGAAATTAGTAGCTATCTTGGACGCGGAAGATTGCTGGATTCATCATGACCCCAGACAGATTCGATATTCGCTAATATTACCATCTCATTAGCCTGCTGTCATCTCTTTCTAAACTCTCTGAAAAGGTGGTTCACTGTGACATTGAAAATATCTCGTCAGATGACCACAGGAGCATATAACCAGGGGTTCACCTTGAACAGAAGTAAAGGTATCTTGCTTTGCCATGTATCAATGTTACTTGAAAAGGTGTGGTACATCGACCTCTTGTATAAACTCATCCAAAAGGTCTTTCCACTTTGGCTTTTAATGCTGTTGAAATTCTTTCACGAAGACATGAAGTTTCGGATAAGAATTAACAAAGTTTTGTCAAAGCCGTTGTTCCTCAGGGTTCGGTCTTAGTATTGATCCTTTATTCATTTTATGTACGAGACGTCCCTGGTTCTAGTCGCTAGTACGTAGTCGTGTTCTACTGACCAGATTCAGAACAGGCTGTAGAGTGCGGTGGAGGAATTATTGGAGCGAGCGTTGGTGGCTGATCAAAATTGATCGCTAGAAGACGCAGGCAATATATTGTGGTAAAGACATCGCGGTGATTTATCAGAGATCTCACTGAATCGCACTCGTATACCATGGGAACAATCTGTCAGCTACCTTGAAGTCATCATTGATAAGAGGTTGACTTAACAGAGAAACACTGGTACTTTTAAAACGACATTCCAAATTACTTGGCGCAGCTTTATCTTTTGGTATCCAGGAATTCAAAATCCAGTTTGACCAACAACAAGCAGATTCACTAGGCCTGTAATCTTGAGAAATGAGAAAAACGGGATTGTTATACCTTAGACAAATTCGTAGTTCTGCCACTCTTCGTGTCAGCTGCCTTTTGTATGACGACCAGTTGTAGGGCGCGTTTATGGCCTCCTTGATTGTCATACTCCTTTCTCTCCTTCAAAAATTTCTAGATTACACTTGTCACGTATCAGCGTCAGCGCTCTCCTATTGTGAAGATATGTTTCCTTTTTAACTTGTAGGAAATTTCAGGCTGATAAAACATGATATAACTCAAAATCTAGCACAATTTGATGCAAATAGATGTTTGTGACATAACCTCAAAATAGAGCGCTGACACGGAGAAGTAGAAAACTATGACAAGGACTGACGATACGGGCCTTAAAGCTCCACATTAGCACTAACATATATAACTCTAGAATATGACATTACTATATCTGAAAATGGCAGACTGTTATTGTTGAGCGTTGGACTTTAAATTGTTTGTAATTTAACAACTTATCATCAAAACGTATATTTTATAAGTATATCTGGACTTGCTACAAAATATGAGATATTCAGTTTAAGAAGAGAGACTGTTGCTGTTGCCACAAAGGAGTATCAATGACAAATAAAAGTAATGCCACGAAAGAAAAATCTTGTGTGTGGCCATCCCATTATTGTCAGTTGTCTATCCGCAGATATAAATAAAGTCTATCAAGTACTTGCTAATGCACTATGCACTTCTTACGCACGCACTGACATAATTTGGTGTTACACGATCACTGGTAGAAATGCGAAAACCTTGAACTGACATTGTGGCACTTTAACTAAATTCAATAATAAATAACATAAATCAAAAGGCTAACTAAAAAAGAGTACATCTAAGATAAAGGACAATAAAAACTAAAATGACATTACAAAACTGGTAGTTGCATTTGTGTTGTGAGCAATAAAGACAAGGATATATCAAGCATAGAATAGAATAAAATTAAATGCCCATCATACATGAGATACGGTTTAAGCATATAAGTGACTACAATAAAACATAATAAAATCTAATAAAATATAATAACGTACAATAAAATATGATAAAATAATAAATTAATAGAACGGAGCAATTATTCTAAAAACGGTGACTTCATTTGGGTTGTGAGAGTGATATATATAGTGTTTTGCCTTCTATATAATCATGTATTATGCTCCTGGATATACCTTTCACCCAGACTGAGATTTTTTTCTTGAATAAAGCAATGTTTCGTATTAACTTATAATCAGCAGGCATTTCGTTGTACAATTTGGGGCAGAGATAAATCCAGGAGCGTTGCAATAATGACTTTTCCGGCCTAGGTACCATTATGTGCCTAGCAACTTTCTGGCGAGTGTCATATTTGTGAGCGATTTCCTCATGAAATGATTTATTTTTAAAGTAGTATACCATGCAATTATAAATAAAGGTTTGCCTAATGTCCATAATTCCAGACTCATGGTATAGCTCATCAGATGGATGAGTTTTGCTCTTGCTATAAAGAATTTTTAATAAATATTTTTGGGCAATCTCCAAGTTCTTTATGTAAGTGAAGCCAGCTCCTCCCCAGCCAGTAGTATTCCATAGCAAAGATGTGACTGCACAAGTGCGAAGTATAAGATTCTCATGCAATCTGTATTAAGGATGTTTCTAAGACATTTGAATTTTGGAATGAGGCATCTTATTTTCTTTGTCACATATTCGATTTGAACATCCCATCTGAGATTTTGATCAATATATATTCCCAGATATTTAGTGCTGCTTTGACGTTTAATGGTTGTCGTATAGTTTCCTATTCTGACATTTATTTCGTTATATTGTGGCATATGGTTTCTATAGGATGCGAAAGGTACAAAACTAGTTTTCTCAGAGTTAACTGTGAGTAGCTTAGTGTTGAAATATGCTAGTACGTTGGTGAGATTATTTTCGATTTTATTTTTAAGTGCGGGCCAACTTGAGTCTTCATAAATTATGACAGTATCGTCCGCGAATCCTAACACTGTATCTCCCGAATCCATTGAGAATAAATCATTAATATATATATTAAATAATATTGGCCCAAGAACAGTTCCTTGTGGGATCCCATAGCATACGTCTTTATAATGACTGGTCACGTTATCTATTTTGACACAATGCTTTCTGTTATTTAGGTAGCTCGACATTAAGTCTAAAGTAGTTCCCCTTATACCGCTAAGCTCGAGTATTTCCGACAGCTTGTCATGACTAATGGTGTCGAAAGCTTTGGTTAAGTCTATAAATATGCAAATGGCAGGGATCTTATCGTTAACTAGTCTGTACAGTTTTTTGGATAGTGTAGCTATTGCATCTTGCGTTGATATGCCTTCTTTAAATCCAAATTGATTTTTATGTAACACGTTATACCTATTGAAAATCTTTAGTAACCTTGACTTGATTATTTTTTCTACAACTTGGGCGATACTCGAAATCAGGGATATTGGTCTATAATTTTCTATATCAAGTTTGCTACCTTTTTTGTAGATAGGTGTTATTGTGGCTAACTTTAAAATATCGGGAAATACTCCTGTACGAAAACATTCATTTATTATATATTTTAAAGGCTTGCATATATAATATCGTTTTTTTTTTCAGAGTTTCAGCTTTTATGTTATCGCTTCCAGGAGCCTTGCCATTTTTCAAGCTTAATATAGTCTCCCTCACTTCGTTTTCATCCGTATCGTCTAAATAAATTGAGTTGATAAGCTTATTTACTTGTTTGATAGGAGCAGTGCGTGGTATCTTCTCTGCCAGTTTTTCACCAATGCTTGTGAGGTGTTCCAAAAACTTCTGAGCAATATCATTTTTATTGGATATTTCTTCCCCACTTTCGATTTTTATCTTATTTATTTCTGCCTTTTTATTCCTTTTACCGGAAATCTCATTTACACAATCCCATAACATCTTACTACTATTATTGGTTTTCTTGATTTTGCTGTCGTAGTATTCCTTTTTTCTTATTTTTAATAGGTTATTTAATAAGTTTCTGTAATCCTTAAATCTTTTTATATTTATTTCCGTTCGGTTTTTTATCATTTCACGATATAGTTTGTTTTTCTTATTTACAGAGTTCACCAAAGCGCTAGTTATCCATGTTTTCCTAGCTTTTTGATTATTTTTGAGTTTTAATTTATACCTACATTTAGTGATATTTTCGTTCAATATTTGTATGAAATGTTCAGTAGCTTTGTGCGTGTTGATCGAATTATATATTGGTGTCCAAGTTTGATTATTCAGAAGTTCAAGTAATTTGGTTTCATTTGTTCTATCTACACAATTTGTGTTTATATTTTTGCTAATGATTTTGGGGAAAATTATCTCTAGTATAGATGTAAAGTGATCAGTTATATGGTTTGAAGTATTACAGAATTTATGTGACCATTATCAGAAGGAGTGCTAGCGAATATGTGATCAATACAAGACTTTGCGTTACCATCCACTCTTGTGTAGTCATTTATTGCTGGACGAAGGTAATACAAGGCTAAGATATTCAAGTATTTTTCCGATAACTCAGACTTTTCCATTATATTTATGTTTATGTCACCCGCCAGTAGATGGATGCAACGACTTTTGTTACAAGATTCCAGGTATGGCTCCAAGTCACTGAGAAATGACAAAGCATCTGTTGACGGTGGTCTATAAATAGCTGAAACAAGTACTAGGTTTTTACATTTTTTCATAGAAAGCTGCAAGATCTTTATGTTTGTGTTAGAAAGTTGTATTATTGTATTGTCGGTCACCTCAACGTTTTTATTGATATAAGCTATAACCCCATCATTTTTGTTAATATCACCATCATTATAGTATATGTTATAATTTTCCAGTTGATATAGTGAAATATCTTCAAGTTTCCAGCATTCTGACAAAACTATACAGTCGAATGTTTTTTTTGATTCCATGCAGTAGCACCTTCAATTAGTCGAATTTCTATGTATACTCCTAATATTTAGGTGCAATAACGAAACATTTTCTCTGTTACATTCTGAATTCAAAGTGCTATTGCATTCATCTATAGACGTTACATTTTTAGTACCAATCTTTTCTATTCGAAAATCACGAATGTATGAGTCCATTATGGCCTAGAGTTGCTTCTTAATTTAGGGCCTTGATGAATTACTAAGATTTTTTGCTTTCCTGAAGAAGCTTCTTCAGCAGATCTCTTTTCCCCTCTTTTGGTCTCGCTATTGTTGTTTGTGGATCTGTGGCCTGTTCGAATTTCGATGTAGCTTCTACTGTAAATGTTTCTGGTAACTCGTCCTGTTGTAGTGTTTCATATGAATAGGCGTCACCATTCACATATAATTTGTTGTTTTTTTATATATGCTGAGTTATTTGCTTGTCTAGCTTGTTTTAAATGTGCATGTAGGACTTTTCTTTTTTCGTATTCTTCCTTTGTGTAGTCATTGGTGACAAATACGCCAGATCGTTCGGTAATTGTTTAGATTTTATCAAAATATTTTGTTTGGTTCTATAGTTCAGCAGTTCAATAACAAGTGGTCGTGGCTTTTTTTGATTCTCACCTTTCTACCTATGCGATGGGAATCTCTTATCTGGGTTGCTTCTATGAAAATTTCCAATTTTTGTTCGATAAATTCTTTAGCTTCTTCTGCTGCTCCTTTATCTTCCTCATTTATCCCATATGCAACTACGCTATACTCTTCAACTTAGCTTCAAGCACATTCAGTTGTTTTTAATGTTTATTTTCCTCTTCAATTTTCTTTAAATTTATTATTCGTGTTCTCTATCTCTTTTTTTACTTCTGTGATGTTCTTATTTAATTGTTCAATTTCACCCTTGAGTTCCGTATTGGAGTTTGTAATTTAAATTGTAGATGTCCTCGAGACTAATTGGTTTTTCTGCCATGATCGCGTACCCAATTTTATGTTGCTGTCAGTCGAATACACTGTAACGTTCTTCGTTGTGGTGTCAAGATCATTGGATGGTATCGCTATCGAGACTTGGTCGTTTAGAACCAAAATACCTCTTCTCAGAGCGTGGGCGTACTGGGCGTGGCAGCTTACTTTGTTTATGTACGGACAACGGAAAAAATAAACGTTTATAACTTACGCACTTATCCAGATTTCCCTTGTGCTGCTTTCACAACTCAAATCATCAACACAACTGCAACCTCTGGGTTAAAACTCACAGTTTTTAATAAACTAGAACACTACTTTTCCGCTAAATAATGCGGAGCTCACTTGGCGAGACCTTTCTCGTGCAGATATATATATATATATATATATATATATATATATATATATATATATATATATATATAGAAGAACTGACAAATTTTAACGTTTTCTAAATGGAATATTCCTTATTTTATTACATATTTGGATAGATCCATCAAAGAAAGAATATTGATAATACATACTGCGCTTGGTACTGTGGTTGTTGAGTTATAAGAGATAGGACTGTCTGCCACTTTGGAAGGTAGGGTTTTTGCTCCCAGGGTTATAAAGTACCTATATATTAAGAGCTCTAAATAAGGTATCCTATGGCCTCCAGAGAGGAGAGACATTTTTGAAAATAATCACATATAATAGTAGGAGTCTGAGTCTATCAAGCACGAATATGCAACCGTAGTGCCTGTTCCAGAACACTACAACACCGATACAATAGACGTTCTTTGTTTAAATTAGAACAGGTATCAACGTTTCGTAGTAGAAAACAAATCGCCAACTCACACCACAGATTATAGCTGGGTAAAGTGTATACACATGTAGTAGATAGTGGAAAATTGAATAACATATAGTGTTGCAGGTGTCCATACAGTAGTCAATCTTTGTTGGAGATAGGATCTTCAATTAAAAGTGCTTTTGACTCCGCACATGACAATCGTGAAAGTCATTGACATTCGTACGTTTAATTGATGCTTTGCATAACAAAAATCTGTATTAGGTATTTACGCAGGCCTGTGTGTCAGTCTCATTGTAGCTTTCTTGTCACTCCATATTCACAGCAACTGATGAAATGATTTCGGTCAGGTCTGCGAAGCAATACGCTAGATGATTTTAGGAGATATAATACTGCTGCATTTTTATAAATAGCTTCCGTGTCAGGTAATCCATTAACAAAAAAACTAAACGTCAAATCATTGTGCCCAAGCCTGTAAGTCGAGATCCAAAACCAAAACCTCTATCACCATACAGACAATTTACAATTATATTGCAATTGTCAATTCTACGCACCGCACCTACAACATACAACTAATCTTGAATTACAATCTTGAAAAAATCGTTAACATGATAAAAGCGATTTATCAAAAATTATTTTAAATGGAATTTGAACAGATTAACATGTTTAAATCGACGTAATTTGGTAGGTATATTATTGAAGAGAAGAGGACCAACTATATTAGGTGATCGACATGCTGCTTTTGTTTTGCTAAATTTTACATATAAATTACTATTAACCATTGTATCATAATTTCAATTTCAATTTATCATTATTTTTAAAAACATGTAAGCACAATCCATAATACGAGTATATTCAACGAAGGAACAGTGCAAATATTGAAATCTATAAAATAAAACGAGTATCACCTTTTGTTGGTGATACTCCTGATAGCGATCGAGTGCAGCTCGTTTGTGATACAAATACATCTTCAGCGCGCGCTGACTAACCCCAGAAATATACCCAATAACTTTATCTTGGATCCACGTTAGCAAAATAAACTTGAATCAGTTCTTCAGTTGTTAAGATGGTTTTTGATGGCCTCAACACGTAGCTTCGAGAGCTCATCTGCGGTATGACTAATTCACATTCCAATTAAGGTTCATCAAAATGTGTATCTTACGTTTCGCAAATCTCATACTTTTTTGTGAATATTTAGGGAAATTTTTCTGTGGGTGTAATAATTTTTGGAAATCCGTAATTTGATTACTAGATTCCTCTCTTTTTCTATCATATATCATATCGGCAAAATATTTTTGGGTGGATTTGGGTAGATTAGACAACTTTTAGTTCATGAAAAGATTAAGATCTCCTCTCAGGTACTACAACTAAGAATAACAAATATATTGATCAGATGTATCGCATACGCTGTTAGGTTGTCACTTATAGGTATACTACAAAATCAAATTTGCGAAGGTGTGAGCTACGTACGGTTCTTGATTATATTTACGTAGATGAAAAACTAACTGGTCGTCATACAAAAGGCAGCTGACACGAAGAGTGGCAGAACTACGAATTTGTCTAAGGTATAACAATCCCGTTTTTCTCATTTCTCAAGACTACAGGTCTAGTGAATCTGCATGTTGTTGGTCAAACTGGATTTTGGATTCCTAGATACCAAAAGATAAAGCTGCGCCAAGTAATTTGGAATGTCGTTTTAAAAGTACCAGTGTTTCTCTGTTAAGTCAACCTCTTATCAATGATGACTTCAAGGTACCTGACAGATTGTTCCCATGGTATACGAGTGCGATTCACTGAGATCTCTGATAAATCACCGCGATGTCTTTACCACAATATATTGCCTGCGTCTTCTAGCGATCAATTTTGATCAGCCACCAACGCTCGCTCCAATAATTCCTCCACCGCACTCTACAGCCTGTTCTGAATCTGGTCAGGAGAACACGACTACGTACTAGTGACTAGAACCAGGGACGTCACGTATATAAAATGAATAAAGGATCAATACTAAGACCGAACCCTGAGGAACAACGGCTTTCACGGGTCGTATTATTGACAAAACTTTGTTAATTCTAATCCGAAACTTCATGTCTTCGTGAAAGGATTTCAACAGCATTAAAAGCCAAAGTGGAAAGACCTTTTGGATGAGTTTATACAAGAGGTCGATGTACCACACCTTTTCAAGTAACATTGATACATGGAAAAGCAAGATACCTTTACTTCTGTTCAAGGGGAACCCCTGGTTATATGCTCCTGTGGTCATCTGACGAGATATTTTCAACGTCACAGTGAACCACCTTTTCAGAGAGTTTAGAAAGAGATGACAGCAGGCTAATGAGATGGTAATAT